CTCGAGGTCCCTTCCAGTCCTAGAATCTATGAATCTATGAATCTATGGTTAATTACCCTCAGTGTTAAACATTTGGCCCTTATTTCCAGCTAGAATATGTCTGGCTTCAGCTTCCAGCCATTGGGTCTTGCTCTGCCTTTCTCTACTTTGCCAATGGTTTTCACCCCATGAAAGTCTCCACTTGATCGTCTTTTTGATAAGTTAAATATCTGATGCCCTTTAAGTCTCTCACTGTCCGGCATTTTCTCCAGCCTCCAATCATTTTTGTGGCTCTTTTCTGCACCCTCTCCAATTTCTCAACAGTCTTTTTGAAATGTGGACCCCAGAACTGGACTCAGTTTATTTCACCAATGCCATGTGCAGAGGTAAAATCCTTCCCCTGCTCCAACTGACCTCTCCCCTGTTTATGCATTCGAGGATCACATCAGCGCTTTTGGCCACAACACCTCACTCAGAGCTAACAATGAGTTGGTTGTCCACAGTGACCCCTAAATCCTTTTCAGGGTCCCTGCGTTCCATAATACAGTGCTCTAGCCTGTGGGTCGGGCCTGCATTGCCTGTTCCGAGAGAATAACTTTTCATGTTACTGTATTAAAACAGTTTATTTGCATGGGCCCAGCTCTCCAAACACTCCAGATAAATTGGTGTGCCTGCTCTGGCCTCCTCATTGTCACCACTCTGCCAATCTTTGGGTCATATGCAAATTTTATTTGCAGTGTTTTCTATTTCCTTCCAGATCATTGATGGAAATATTCAATGGCATCAAGCCTATAATCGATCCCTGCACAATCCTGCTAGAAACACCCCCATAACTGACAATGGCCCTTAAGAGTGGCTTTCTGAGATCTGTCAGTTAGCCAGTTTTTAATCCACTTGACATGTGCTCTCCTGATATTGTACTGTTCATTTTTTATCTGAATGTTTTTTAATACTGTTCATTAACAAAGAACTGTCCTGTATTTGCCCTTTTTTTTGTTGGCTCTGCTGCTTCTGCTTCCGAAGGGGATGTGTGGTGGATCGGTCAGTTTGTAACCTGGTTTTCGTAACTCTACGGTTCTACTGTAGATGCTGTTTAACATTCTCCTTGGCAGCTAATGGACTGGAGACTATTTCATCGCCTCATGTGATACGAGTATCTCGTACTGCTTCTTTCCAAATGCAGAACAAAACTATTTCTACAACATTAACAAGCTTCCTTTCTCCCCCTAGGAATTGGCCTAAATCCTCTCTAGGATTTCTTTTGTTCTTAATGTACTTAATAACCTCCTTTTTGTTATCCTTAGTCCCGCCAAGCATGGGTTTTCCCAGACGTCTTTAACGTCCCTTATCAATTTTCATAACTTCCAATTTGTATTGCTTGCTATCTATTTTCCCTTTTTACCCATTTGTATATATTGCTTTTTCCCACATAATTGCTGCCTTCACTTTGCCACTGAACTGGGTTTTTAGCCAAAGTTCTCCACTTCCTTGACTGTGGAATCGTGACTATTTAGCTATCCAACAAACTCTTCTTAAAGAATTCCCAAGTTTCATTCCCATTTTTCTGTCTATTTTTTTCCTCCCAATCAATTTTCTTGATAATTTCCTTCAGCTTTGGGGAATTAGCCCTTTTGAAGCACTAAAGATATTACTGGTTGGGTTCTCTGTCCAATTGAATGTAATCAGTTCCATTCTTTATATTCCTCTCCTCTATTATCTGCCCCCTTCTTTGTCTCTTCTCTAAACTAAAGAGTCCCAGACTTTTCAGTCTCTCTGCATATGACAGCCTTCCCCATTCTCAGAGCCGGTCTCGGAAATCCTCTTTATAACGCTGTATCCTTTTTAGAGACTAGAGCACATACCCAGAGCAGGTTAGTTTTCATCGCATTTCCTAGGCATCCAAACATTGTCTTTGATTTGGCAACTCTCAGGGGGAGGGATAGCTCAGTGGTTTGAGTATTGGCCTGCTAAATCCAGGGTTGTGAGTTCAATCCTTAAGGGGGCCCCTTAGGGATCTGGGGCAAAATCAGTACTTGGTTCTGCTAGTGAAGGCAGGGGGCTGGACTTGATGACCTTCTAAGGTCCCTTGCAGTTCCTAGAAGATAGGGTATCTCAACTATTCCAAATAAGCAGGTGTTTTGTTGACCTGAGGTGTGTTCTAGTTGAGATGTTTCCCCTGGCGCATGTCTTGGCAAAGGTTTGGGTTTTTTTACATTCTCAGATGTTGAGCAAACAGGTGAATGGGGAGCTCCCTACAGCATGGACTCTCTAGTCTGGCTTTCATTGCATTAAGGAACAGTGATGGATAACCAGCATCCACACTCGTGGTTCCTGCTGGTGCCTAGTAAGGTTTCCCACACCACAACATGTAGAATTATTGATGCATGGAGCACTATCAAATATGGAATTGGAATTGTCATTTTTCAGTGTGTGACGAACGACCAATCTGCTTCACCCATGAGAACAGCCTCCACTAGTGCATGTATGTCTCATATTAACATTGTCTCTCCATCCAGGCATTTGTACTGCGACCATCACCTAAACACTGGGCACATACAGAAAGTCTGGTGAATGTACGGTACATGCAGGAGACACAGTTCTGCCTCAGAGTTGGACACCTTCTCCCCTACTCAATGTCAGATTCCAACACAACCAACTTCACCAACCTCTCCACCTTCATCCTGCTGGGCATTCCTGGCCTGGAGGCAGCCCACGTCTGGATCTCCATCCCCTTCTTCACCATGTATGTCATAGCCATCCTGGGGAACTTCACCATCCTGTTCATTGTGAAGACGGAGCCTAGTCTCCTTGGGCCCATGTACTATTTCCTCTGCATGCTGGCCATCAGCGACCTGTCTGTACCTACATCCATTGTGCCCAAAATGCTGTGCATCTTCTGGTTCAATTCCAGGGATATAGATTTCAATGCCTGCCTCACCCAGATGTACTTTACTCTCAACTTGCCAGTGACGCAGTCTGGGATCTTCGTGGCAATGGCTTTTGATCACTATGTGGCCATCTGCGATCCCCTGAGACATTCCACCATCCTGACAAACCCTGTGGTGGCCAAGGTTTGCCTGGCCATTGTGCTGCGTGAAGCCATGCTCGTATTGCCCTTTCCCTTGCTGGCGAGGCGGTGGCCATATTGCAGAACCAACATCATTCCCGAGCTGTTTTGCTCACACATATCCTTGGTGAAGGTGGCCTGCGCCGACACCCGCGTCAGTAGTTACTACGGCCTCTTTGTGCTATTCTGTGTGATGGGTCTGGATGTGATTTTTATTTGTGTGTCCTATATCCAGATCCTCAGGGCCATCTTCAGGCTCCCCACAAAGGACGCCCGGCTCAAGACTTTTGGGACCTGTGGCTCCCACCTCTGTGCCATCTTAGGCTTTTACATCCCAGGTCTCTTCTCCTCCCTCATGTACCGGTTTCGGCAGAATTTGGCCGTACATTTCCACGTTCTCATTGCCAACATGTGCATCTTGCTGCCCCCCATGCTGAACCCCATCATCTATGGGGTGAGAACCAGACAGATCCGGGACAGGCTACTCCGGGTCTTCACTCATAAAGGGACATAAAATTTTCTCCTGGTGCTCTGGCTCTCAGACCAAGCTCCGTGCAGAGCTGGCTGGTGACATGGTGCTGGGCCCCCTTCCCTGAATCACTCACTGGGCAGTCAGAGAGACATTAAACTCTTCCCTGACCTTACTGTGCTGTGTCAGTGTGAGAACTGGAGAATCAGTCTGTATACCACTCATTAACTCATTGGGTTGCCACCTTTCTAATTGCTGGTAATTGGACCCCATGACTCCCCTCTGTCCCCCCATTCCCTTAAGGCCCTGACCTCTGCCCCACATATTTCTCCTAGGCCCCTTCCCATGCCCCACCTAGTCCATCAAGACCCAGCCTCATTCTCCATTTCTTCCACCACTTCCCTGCCCTTGTCCCTGGCTTCTCTACTCCCCTCCCCGCATCACTCGCTAGCTCTTCTCCACCTCCATCTCTGCCCCAGCTGGGCTCCCTCTGCTCTGGGACTGGTTGGAGCTGCTGAAGCCTGACAAGGGGCCTGCCTGTTGGTATGATGTGGCCCCGGCTGAGCAGGGGCAGGTGTGGGTTAATGACCCAATGCCTCCACCCTGCCCTGCAGGAGCCAGGCACAGTCCGATCCCCTCCTTGGGTGGACTTTCTAGTTCAAAACCAGGCACCTGAGAACCCAGCATGGCACCCAGACACAGAAGCCAAAAAACAGAGTGTCCGGATAAAACCTAGATGGGTGGAAACCCCATTAACTCACGCTTTGTTATAGAAAGTGTCTGTATCCACTATGTCTTTGGGCTTTTCCTGTACTCTTCTCTCACCCACCTTGTATGAAGGGGCTGAAGGCTGAAACAGAGGCATCTCTCTCTAAATAGGTTGGTCATAAAAGACTCTTAGCCTTGGTCTACACGGGGGGGGGGGATTGATCTAAGCTATGCAACTTCAGCTACATGAATAATGTAGCTGAAGTTGACCTACCTAGACCTATTCACCGTGGTGACTTCACTGTGGTGAGTCGACTGCTGCCGCTCCCCTGTCGACTCCGACTGCACCTCTCGCTGCGGTGGACTACAGGAGTCGATGGGAGAGCACTTGGGGGTCGATTTATCGCATCTAGACTAGATGCGATAAATCGACTCCCCGCTGGATCAATCGCTGCCCCCCGATCCGGCAGGTAGTATAGACATACCCTTAGCCCTAGCGAGAGCTCCCCCAGTAGAAGGAGGGAATAACTGAATTCTAGATAAAAGCAGTTTTCTCCAGCTTCTCTGCAGAGGGGCGGGCATGGAAGAAATGGAACCTCCCCAGAAAAGGGAACAGAGAGAGGAAGCGTTGTTTCCAGCCCTTCAAAAACACAGAGACTGGATGAGTCAGAAGAAGCTGGGGCAGGAGAGAGGCAGCAGGGCGTCAGAGGCGACTCTTTGGCTGCAGGGCTCTGGCTGCAGCAGAGACAGGTTCCAGCTGGAGGAGAAGCCAGGAGTTCCAGGAGGTGGCCCCTGAACACCCTGGAGGGCTCTGACCAATCCCAATGATGCTCCAGGATGATGTAGACAAAGTAATGCATATTGGAAAACATCATCCCAACTATACATATAAAATGATGGGGTCTAAATTGTAGCCAATAATTTTAGTTCATTATTCACTTATTTTGTGATGTTATGAGTAATCAACATGTTATACTATATTTTCACTGTGGACACTTTTATGGACATGCAAAGAATGCAGGTATAGAGAGAATCACATTATAAATAGGCTATGCTCAGAGTGGGAAAATTCAGCTCCCTATGGAAGACTCTAGCAGGAACCATCTGTCTACTGATGATCAAGGTATGAGACCCATCAGACCCTCACACTGTTGTTAAGGATGGGAATATAACTAGATTTGTAACTGGTGCCTAGGTGTGTATAAAATTTCTGTATGCTTGGATAATTGTAACTTTAATAAAACTTATAAAGTAGTCTAGGCCTTGTACTGATGAATGCATGTGTGGTCACTACCTTTGGTCTTTGTGTGTTCCTAGAGACTCTACATTTGAAGCAAGCAGCAGAGGTGACTTTCACTCTGTTAAGATTGAAACTGTAGCCACCAGCGCCGAAGCCACAGTGGTGTAACACCACATTACAAAATTTACTTTAAATAAAATAAAAGGCTACAAAATCAGTGTTCCATCTTATTTTTTCCCCATCCATTTGCAGAATGAATTTTGATATTTGCACCAATATCAAGGTAATGTGCGGATGTGTGCCATTGACTCTTGTGCGGCCACATAGCTTAGAGGGAACACTGGCACTCTAAATTAGCTGTTACCACTCAATAAAGAGATCTTGGATCTTTATGGATAGTTCTGCAGCGGCAGTCAAAGAAGCAAACAGAATGTTGGGCATCATTCAGAAAGGGACACAGCAGAACCTCAGGGTATGTCTACACTACGACATTAGATCGAATTAATAGAAGCCGGTTTTATAGAAATCGGTTGTATACAGCCGATTGTGTGTGTCCCCACATAAAATGCTCTAAGTGCATAACGTCGGCGGACCTCGTCCACAGTACCGAGGCTAGCGTCGACTTCCGGCGCATTGCACTATGGGTAGCTATTCCACAGTTCCCGCAGTCTCCGCCGCCCATTGGAATTCCGGGTTGAGATCCCAATGCCCGGATGACGCAAAACAGTGCCGCGGGGGGTTCTGGGTACATGTCGTCAGGCCCCTCCCCCTCCGTCACAGCAACGGCAGACAATAGATTCGCGCCTTTTTACCTGGGTTACCTGTGCAGACAACATACCACGGCAAGCATGGAGCCCGCTCAGCTCAGCTCACCGTCACCATAAGTCATCTGGATGCCGGCAGACGTGGGACTGCATTGCTACACAGCAGCAGCAGCTAACTGCCTTTTGGCGGTAGACAGTGCAGCATGACTGGTAGCCTTCATTGGCGATCTGGGTGCTGGCAGCCGTGGGGCTGCATTGCACCAGCGCCTTGCCTTTTGGTAGAAGATGGTATATTACAATTGGTATCCGTCGTCATCGTACTGCAGTGGCTGTCGATCATGGGCACCTGGGCAGACATGCTCAGTCCTATGGAACTGTCTTGATGATGATGGTTATCAGTCGTAGTATGCCATTTTCTGCCACGCACCCTGTTGGCTCATCGCACTTTAGCTGAGTCGTAGTATGTTATTTTCTGCCAAGCGCCCAGTAATTTCTACTAAGCACCCAGAAGAGGCCGAGGGCGATCTGGGTGCTGGCAGACATGGGGCTGGCAGACGTGGGGCTACATTGCTACACAGCAGCAAACCCTTGCCTTTTGGCAGTAGATAGTATATTATGACTGGTATCCATCGTTGTCATACTGCAGTGGGTATCAGATGGTGCAATAGGCCTGAAGGCTAACTGCCAAGCGCCCAGTATTTGCTGCCAAGCACCCAGAAAATGCCGAGGGCTATCAGTCATGCTGCACTGTAGTCTTAAGATGTAAAAAATAGATTTGTTCTGTATTCATTTCCTTCCCCCCTCCCTCCGTCAAATCAACGGCCTGCTAAACCCAGGCTTTGGAGTTCAATCTCTGGGGGGGGGGGCATTCTGTGTGACAGTTGTTTGTGTTTCTCCCTGATGCACAGCCACCTTTCTTGATTTTAATTCCCTGTACCTGTAAGCCATGTCGTCACTCGCCCCTCCCTCCCCTCCCTCCCTCCTTCCCCTGGTCCGTCAGATACTAGTTTCGCGCCTTTTTTCAGACCAGACGCCATAGCTAGCACTGGGATCATGGAGCCCGCTCAGATCACCGCGGCAATTATGAGCACTATGAACACCACGCGCATTGTCCTGGAGTATATGCAGAGCCAGAACATGCCAAAGCAAACCAGGAACAGCCGAGGAGGAGGCGATTGCAGAGCGGCGACGAGAGTGATGAGGAAATGGACATGGACCTAGACCTCTCACAAGGCACAGGCCCCAGCAATGTGGAAATCATGGTGTTCCTGGGGCAGGTTGATGCCGTGGAACGCCGATTCTGGGCCCGGGAAACAAGCAAAGACTGGTGGGACCGCATCGTGCTGCAGGTGTGGGACGATTCCCAGTGGCTGCGAAACTTTTGCATGTGTAAGGGCACTTTCATGGTACTTTGTGACTTGCTTTCCCCTGCCCTGAAGCGCCAGAATACCAGGATGAGAGCAGCCCTCACAGTTGAGAAGCGAGTGGCGATAGCCCTGTGGAAGCTTGCAACGCCAGACAGCTACCGGTCAGTCGGGAATCAACTTGGAGTGGGCAAATCTACTGTGGGGGCTGCTGTGATCCAAGTTGCCAGGGCAATGAGAGACCTGGTGATATCAAGGGTAGTGACTCTGGGAAACGTGCAGGCCATAGTGTATGGCTTTGCTGCAATGGGATTCCCAAACTGTGGTGGGGCGATAGACGGAACCCATATCCCTATCTTGGCACCGGAGCACCAAGCCACCGAGTACATAAACCGCAAGGGGTACTTTTCAATGGTGCTGCAAGCCCTGGTGGATCACAAGGGACATTTCACCGATATCAACGTGGGCTGGCCGGGAAGGGTACATGATGCTCGCATCTTCAGGCACTCTGTTCTGTTTCGAAAGCTGGAGGAAGGGACTTTCTTCCCGGACCAGAAAATAACCATTGGGGATGTTGAAATGCCTATCGTGATCCTTGGGGACCCAGCCTACCCCTTAATGCCATGGCTCATGAAGCCGTACACAGGCAGCCTGGACAGGAGTCAGGACCTGTTCAACTACAGGCTGAGCAAGTGCCGAATGGTGGTGGTATGTGCATTTGGGCGTTTAAAAGCACGCTGGCGCAGCTTACTGACTCGCTCAGACCTTAGCGAAAAGAATATCCCCATTGTTATTGCTGCTTGCTGTGCGCTCCACAATATCTGTGAGAGTAAGGGGGAGACATTTATGGCGGGGTGGGAGGTAGAGGCAAATCGCCTGGCCGCTGATTACGTGCAGCCAGACACCAGGGCGGTTAGAGGAGCACAGCATGGCGCGGCGCGCATCAGAGAAGCTTTGAAAACTAGTTTT